CATCTTTTTGTATGTATTCAATATGATGTATTTCAACGTGGACGAACCAGTATGGGAGCTAAAGCAGACGAAATCCGTTTATTATGGTAGACAAAAGGCTCGAGACAACCAAACGACCAATTTACACAACACTTCGCAAGCGATATTTTCGCACGTATTCCAATAATAATTGTCCAATATGGCTTCAAAACATTATTAATAACACTTTGTTTCCAATAAAACTTCATTGGAGGAGTTTGAAAACACTGAAACGAAGTAAACTGCAAAAAACAACAATTGCCTAATAGTAGCCCTAAGTTTTTTGCCCGGTTCCCGCGCCATCTTGGATTTATCATGAATGTCACGCTGGCGTCTTTCGGTCGGCACCATTGAGTTCTATAATAACTGGAGCGGCTATCTCAAGCGCAGCCTTAGATATCTGATGATGCCAAAAAAATGGCGGATTTCGTCCTTTGCCGCTGAGATTTACCGAAATTGACCGCTTTTCCGAAAATTTCACAATTTCCCACTCCTTCCTGAGGAAAGAGTGAGGAAAATGTATGTTTGTTATTTGGGATTCTGCAAGCAATTTTTTGATGAAAATCAAGGTAAAAACCTTAAATTCATAACAGCGAGTCAACTGTGGTTGTCAGTTATCTGCTCCTACGAGGATGCATTTATAACTATCGACGAAAGAGCTATATCTCGGCTACACATGTATGAATGCAGATGTGGGTCGTTTTCTTAACAGCGTCAAACTTGTTTGATCGATTAAACTCTTTAGTCTATACAAAAAAGTATATCATAGTTCATCTCCACGGTTCACGAGAGAGAAGTTAGCTTATTTATTATCATTGCTATTTTGCTTCTTTTCATGCAATCGGCAATGGCTTTTTTCGCCTTAATTGTAGGATTTTTACTTGTTTCTTTAAAAAAGTACATATTAAATCTCTGGATATTTACGGATTTTCTGTAATTGAGTTTCATATGAAATTTCAAAATGACTCAAGTCTGCATAGGTTTGGTAAATGAAAATAAACAATATTGTATAGAAATTACTTTAAGTAACCTTTTTGTGATGTTCTGAAGTGCAACTGCATCAAATACTTGTAAAGTTGTAGCACATTTGATTTTGTTGTATTGATATATGAATTGGGCAAAATGCAAATAATCATCAAAACAATTATGCTCTTAATGGTGTTTCTAATTCATTTGTAGTTTTAATACTTCCACCCTTCTTTTTCACTATGTTTTGTTTTTCCTACATTTGCAATAAAAGTGCACTATAATTTGAATGATTAACACAGTTTTCACCTCAATAATAAATTTCATAAGCAGTTGGTAGTGCATTTTGTTCTCTGAGTATCCACATCTGGTATTTTGTTCATACAAGAATGATGAAGTGCAAGTGGATGTCATAGCAAGGCAATAAAACCAAATGAATTACATAACTATAGTGTACTTTTATGCTAGAAGCTTAAAAGCTTTTTAGAAATTAGAATATTATTGTATTATATTACCTCTATATCATCAATTTCATGATAAGAAATAAGAAGCAAAAAATTTTTAGAAAAGCTTTGAAAAGTGAAAAACTTTTCTTTAAAAAAGCAGCAATAATGTATATGATAACTCTCCATTCTGTACTCTAATAGGTAAATAAGCTCAAATTTTTCTTAAAGAAATATAAGAAATATATAAGAAATATACAGTACAGTAACTTTAAAGGTTTCATCACTGAATCTTTAATGCTTCAGTATAGTGCATTAAATATTAGTAACATTCAAACAACACTCAACTAGAATATTTTGATAAAGATATGACATGATTTAAACATTAAGTTACATACAACCTAATGGCTTATACAGTTTGAAGCTTCACATCTGCATTGAGTCATCATCAATCTCAGTACAAATGTTTACATAGACACAAACTTTATGGCCTTCCATTTTACATGTTTGTGAATTGACATTTCAATAAGCATCAAAACACATACAACCTTCTTGCCATCTTTCTTTGGATCATGAACATTAACTTCAAAGCATTCAAGGCATCCTTAGTGAATCCATTGTCTCCATCCATAGAATTTGACCACGATCCAATTAAATAACTCCGGATAGGGCAGACAATAAATCAATTATCTTTACAGCATTATCATTTTTTAAGACTCTGCCAGGTCAATAACATCTTCCAGTCATCTTTACTCCTTGATCTTCCCTGCATGTTGTCAGCAAATAGAACATAACAAGCTCTGCTCCAAATCATGGGTACCGTTGGGGCTGATCATTTCTTTTGATACTTACTCACAGAGCAAAATGTGTGCAGGGTCTTTTGCTTTAGGAAACTATTTTGCAAATAAATGGGTAAATTACTATTTCATGCATTAACAAATGACAGAAAAGTATGCAGAATTTTATAAACAAAAAACAGGAAAACATCAGTATATTTGGCGTTCAAGTGAGTCTTTAATATGTATTTTATGGCTTTTCAAGTGCATGTATAATTGCTTTTCAATCGTTGATAGACTAAAAAAACAAACAACTACCTCACCTGTGAGAAGCGATATGTTCCTTTTTGTGGAAACTATGACATCCAACAATTGAACGATTGAAGTGTTGGCATCATAAAAATGGCAAAAAGATATCGTCACAGAATCTGGAACTAACGATATCCATATTCTGTGATATCGTGTTTGTTTTGAAAAATTCTTTCTAATTTACTATAGACACCAGGGGAGGTAGAAATATTATTTTCTGCAAAGCGATCATTTCAGCGGAAATACGTCCTTTGGCGCCATTTTTGGCATTCTCGCCCCAGTAAAGTTAGCCGCTCTAGTTATTATAGAACTCAATGGTCGGCACTAGATCATGGTCAACTAACGTACGCGCCGACATATTATTCTTATTATGTCAGCGGTAAGTAACAATTGACAAATAGTCATGTATATGTAATTAACATTGGTAATTACCTATAAGCTGTGACAAACCACTAAAATATAGAATAACCATTGAGAATAACAAGTTTCATATGCGTATTCAACCGATATGCGGCTAATTGACGCGAAGAATTCTTTTTTCGATTTCAGGTTTGGACAGTTTTACTTTTTTACACATCTATTGTTTTGAATTCTTTGTATTTTACATATATTGTCATATGCTTAACGATTTTAAATCATCATAACGATACTCGAAGCAATGAACAATATACAATGAACGTAACTGTGGCGTATCCAGCCCGTTTTATTTAGCTCTGCTATACACTTATTTCTTTGTTCACTAACTGTAAAAACAACAGATTTCTAAAGAAATGTTTATTGATAATAATATCAAATTTACATACCACGACCAAATTATCTTCCGGGCTCACTACACAACTGTGCAAAATTTATAAGGTAAATTTATTATTTCTACATTTTGTAGACAGTATTAGTTATATGTCCCCAGTAAGTTGTAAAAATAAATACCATGTCCATGATTCACAAATAGAAAACGTTAATTTTGTTTAATATTATTTACAGATATATACATACATGATTTGTCAAGGGGTTCCAATTTGAGCAATTACAGTGTACATGTTTGCAAGCAAAAGTGAAGCGATACATGATTATTTTTATGTTAGATGCTTACAATTACTATTTTCTCACAGAATATAATTTTCTGAATGGCAGGTTTGCATTGCATTCTCAATGTGGGGAAACATCTCGATTTTTTGTTCTTCAAAGCATTTGACCAGATGCACTCGCATCTTCTCCTGCAGCCAGGTAACAGAGCAAGGGTTCACACCATTAGCCAAAGCAACAGCATTTGCCACAGCAAAAAGAAAACAATCTGATGATCCTTTTTGATGTTTTTGGAGAATCACTTTGACGTATAAAGAACCATACTGTTTTTGAAGGTTTTTGTAAACATTCTGGAGTTGCCTTTTTAATGATGAATTAAGGTTGGTACTCATAGATTCAAAGACTACTATTTCACCAGTTCTGGATGTAGAAACCACACAGTGGTGACCAATATTATGACATTGAATTGCTTGGGTCATATTTTCAGGAATATTTATGAGTTTGTTACTGTATGTGACTGCTACGACTGTGTTCAGAGCTCCCACTCCGGTACCAAGTCACCTATTAATTTCTGTGCTGCATCAATATGGTCATCTGAAAGCCATCCATTTAGATTTAGAAGCACGTCTTTCTGAGCATATGACAACTTTATTCCTTGAATATCTACCCAACACTCCTCAGAATTTTCAATTTTCTTATTGTTGTTCATTTTCATCTTTTTTGCTAGTTGCTCTTCAATTACTTGTAATTTGCGTTTCTCATGCTTATCTTCTTTTCAAGCTTCTCTTCAAATACTTCAATCTTTTCACTTTTTAAATCAGCTGCTTTTCCCACTCGTTTACCTGGACACCTCTTGCATTTTCGTTTTGGCAAAGCAGATTGTGACCTACACTTTGAAATTTGTTTCTTTTTTGGAGATAAGGACTTGTTTTTCAATGAAATTCCATTTTCCTCAGGATGACTTTTTCTTGTGTATTGTATTACCTCTTGTAACATCTCCAGGGTTTTGTCCAAAACTTTCTCATCATCCAAAATGTAAAGCTCATCCTGAATTTGTTTGACTTTTTGAACACACTTATTTCTAACATTTTGGATTGAGTTGGAGCAATAATCTGTTGTGGTAAGAAAACAGTCAGAAGAATGAGCTTTTTCATAATTAGGACATTGCGCAAAGTTTCCTGGCAGAGAGTGGGGTTTGATATCAGTCTGATTTGGGCTTATACTGGCTTTTGGTTGAATTATATGGGGATCTAAAGTAAATAGGGGATGATTGGAAAACTTCACTCCAATTGATTCCCACCCAACATTTGGTTGTTGAACAACAGCACAGATGTGTTTACAAGGCATCTTTGGACTCCTGTAATCAAGACATTGGCAGAAAGGCATTTGGTCGTTTGATCCCAAAAAAACTTGATATGTGGATGATGAGCTTGTGACAGTGAAATGTTTTGTCTTTTCTATCTTGATGTTTTTACTTGGAATGTCAGATTCCATCCGTTGAATAATATGAGAAACAACATACTTTGGTCTATTGTGCAGGAACTTTGGGATTTGTTTGCTGTAGGACTTGTATGAATCGGATGATTTGATATTCTGTTCCTTATATCTATAAAGAGAAAATTGTAAGTACACTTATACTTTTTTGACTATCGTTAAAGCTCACTGATTGCAAACATCTTATAAAAAAAACAGTATGCACAATACTTTTTGTAGTTATCAGGCAGGAGCTGTGTTAGTAATATATTGACGAGATCACTTATCGAATGATTTCGTCTGTCCTCTAAATATGAATGCTTTAACCAGTTATTTTGCCTTTCCACTCCGTTGTTTGTATAAATGGCAACGCGCAACGATTCATCCCTGTAAAAACGGACCCATTTCTTGAAAAGTAATGTATATATTTATATAGACACACATAGGTTAGATAGGTAGTATCAGTTTTGAGCAGTTTAGCGTACTGATATTAAAACGCATAAAATAGAAGAGATTAATACCTGCAAGTGTAATCCCCAAAATTCATCAAAGTTTTTCTGCAGTTGCAGCGATTCTTTCCACAGATGGCTGTTTTTCAATGCATCAATGTTTTTCTGTAATGCGATTTGACTTGTGCTATTTACAATATTTCGCAGCAGTTGTAATAGCTCATGTTTGTAAAGATACGTTCCATTACTGCGCTTATTAATCCATTCGTTCCACGCCTTCTCTCGATGAAAATCGCAAACATGAATGTGTGTTTCTAACCCCAAAAAACCCCATTCATTAAGTAAGTAAGTTCGTCAAAAACATTTTCTTCAAAAACGGCTATTGCTTTGTTTCGTCTTACTTGGAAAACACTGTTTGATTGCTCCAATTTCAGCTAATGAAAAATCAACCATTATGTTTTAGGTTTCCACAGTGGATTCTCTTGACTGATGATGTTCAGGACTTCTGATATGGAATCCATGTCCTCATTTTGGGATATGAAGACAGCAACAACGATGTAACAAACATTTGATCGGACACATAAGAAAAACAACGGTAGTGCATACCTCAAAAGATGCAAATTGGAAAACTTTATAACATTAACTTTCCAAGTGACAAGAAAATAAGGTATTTTGTATTACCTACATGTGCGATAAGTGGCATCCATTAAACACATTTCGTTCCCATAACGCAATAATAAGCGCTTCATCCAACAAGACTGATATACGAAAAGAAACTTCCTCTTCTCCAGACCATTTTCTTTCAAAAGCTAAAAAAAAAACAAGAGAATAAGTATATGTCAGCATAGTTTATTTGAAACAGAGGCATTCAAAGGAAAAATAGCTGTGAAACTGTTTATATCGTTTTTTGAACCCATGCAGGGTTAATAATTTCCATAATACCTTACCCTTTAAAAGTTCAACTTTGATGTTACCTGACAAAATATAAAATCTTTTGGGAAAGCTTCACTCCATTCATCGCATTTTATTTGCAAATTTAATTGATCATCCTCTGCCTTTTTTTTTCCAATACGTGAAGTGTTTAATATATTTCGTATATCATTATCTGTTGGATAATACCGTCGACTTAATTCAGATGGTGGTTCTTGCCCGCGAAACAATTCCGATTTGACAAAATTTCTCAAATGACGTCGGACTTCTGCGACACTTCGAACCCCATAACATCCATTTCTCTTACTTTAATTACAATTTGAGGAAGGATTGGCTCGCGAAATTCTGCTTCCTATAAAAAGTCACAATAATTATTCAATTTCTTATTAGCAATTTTCTCACGCAAAATTGACATTATCAACCCACTTTAATTCTTTAGTAGAGAATGGAAATGGTATTGCTAGGCAAAAAGTGAATCTCGCACTGTACCTCGCCGTGTGTTACATGAAACATATGACTGTTTACTCCAGGAAGTTTTAGCAGAAAGATATCCATTACATTGACTTTCTTGCCAGCTGACAGATCATTTTTAAAATAGAACTTGCCGTTCTCATTTTCCTGTCTGTTTTTCCATCGCCACTTACTTCCACCGGGAATTGTCACAAAAATGGACAAAATGACCTACTTATCTGAGAGAGCATTTGTTTTAGAGTTATAAAACGCCTTACAATGCATATAACAAAAAATTCTTACCGCATACTCGGGAAATTTCAGAATTCTTAAAACTACGACTTTGCTGGGACATCCTAGTTTTTTTGAAGACTGTAATAGCTTACGATGTTTCCGAAAGGTGTGATCACGATTCTGAAAATATTTTTTTATTTTACGTAAACAGAATTATCATCATGTTGCACTGTTGCACTAATATATGCATTAATTTTATACCTCTTTCATTTCTATAGCTCTCTGTCTATTTAGCTTTGTGTGTTAATCAATATCTTCAAATTAGTGACACTGATAATGCAGGCCACCGGCAGATATGAATGGCATTCCGTCGAAAGATAAGGAAACCCCGCAAGTTTTTGCAGTTGTGCTCCATCGAATTCTTTCAAATGAACCTTTCTCAGCGAGTATTTCGTCTGTAGTCTTGTCTATTAAACACTTACATCAGTTCATTCATGTCATCATTAAGTATTTGGTTCATACATGTCATCATTAAATAGTTGGTTCATACATGTCATCATCAAGTCTTTGGTTCATTCATGTCATGATTAAATATTCGGTTCACACATGTCATCATTAAGTATTTGGTTCATACATGTCATCATTAAATAGTTGGTTCATACATGTCATCATTAAATAGTTGGTTCACACATGTCATCATTAAATAGTTGGTTCATACATGTCATCATTAAATAGTTGGTTCATTCATGTCATCATTAAATATTCGGTTCATACATGTCATCATTAAGTACTTGGTTCATACATGTCATCATTAAGTATTTGGTTCATACATGTTATCATACTTTAATATTTAAAATTTAAACAAAAGTTCTGCTTTAATATATATATATAATTTTGTGAAGTTTCTTTCTTCACCACTGCACAATAACCAAAAAGTAGTATATCTCTGGACAAGCATATGCTTTCTGCATTGAAGTTATTGTATAATATATACCTATCAACTTATTTCTGTTTAGACAGCGCCACCCACTGCGAGTTCGTTTTTTATAATCAATGAATACTTCCAGCATTTCTTCTTTGGAATTGCATATTACAATACCTTCGTCTAAATTGCTTTTGTTTTTTGCTTCACTCGCCGCATACTTCATTGGAAACTCCATTTTCGAACTAGCATTTGGCAACAATTCCGTGATGATTTCCCGCGCTTTTTATGTTTAGATTCTCATAGAATATACGTATGGCAAGTTGCAATTTTACCATGTTGGAAAATATGAATTTTTTGTTGCTCGAAAAACATTTAGCCAAATGCATTGTATCTTCTCATATGACCATAAAATCAAGAAATGGTGCATTCAATGCTGTTAGGGAGGTGGGTGCATGGAAATCGAGCATTCTTCATGAAATTATGGATAGTCATTGCAGAGCACGGAGCACCCCAACCTGACAAAGATTTTTAGTTTACAAAATTGATAAAGAAACTTGTTCATATTAAGTAATAATATTGTTTGCAAACACTATGACATCATGCAATGACTTTTTACAATTACATTTCACTATTCGAAAGAGTTGCATCTAAGGCAAGTTATGTTCTACAGCACTGGGTCTATGCCACAAGCATAACAAAAGCAGGTGGGAGTTTTTAAACTGTTCGAAAAATCCTTTGACAATGGAAGGAATCATATGCTCAAAGGTTTTTCTGAACAATCTGTTTTCCATATTAGAATGTATTTTGGTGCTCAGAGATTCAATGTGAAAATTTTTGCCAGAGATGAATGTAGAGAATACCCAGTGTTACATGTTAAGATATATTGTTACCATTTCTTGTTGTAAAGTATTTTCAGGAACATACCTGAATTAGCTACTGTGATTGATATCACAACTCAACATCTTATCTGGCTGCACCTGTACTAAGATCACCTATTAATTTTTTCGTGATAAATCAATATGCTCAATTGAAAACCACCCATTTCATTTAATGAGCACTTAAGTTAGATTGTGGTTCACTGTGTGGATGGCACTGCTGGAGACAATGAGTTTTCAAAATTTCCTGACAATAACTTTAACAAAGTTAAAAAAGTTGCCACACCTGTGCATTAACTCAAATCGGAAAATTACAAGCAAGTATGGCCAAACAGTCAAACACATTAAACACACAAATTTTATATTATTATGCAGGAAGTTTGGAAAAAAATTTGAAGATACGAATCTAGATGGGTGTGTTTATCATGTATGTTGTATCTATAATAACTTTTATTAGTACTACAAATAACAGGAAAATATTTAATATCATATCTATAATACAAATATAGTCCATTTCTACTTTATAACATTACATTGTTGTCCTTAAGTCCAGTAAATCTGCAAGTGCGGTTATTATATTGTAAAGTACTATCAATCCATTACTTCTGCAAGGCAGACATTTCAAAGAACATACATCTGACCAAAATTGAATTGAAATCTTTGTAATCTTTTCTTGCTTTCTATTGCCAATTTGCCTTATTGCCGTATGCAAACGCAATATGTAGTGCAGTAAAATCATTCGTATAATGAATACATGAATATTCGTCAATTGTTACTTACCGCTGACATAATAAGAGTAATATGTGGGCGCGTACGTTAGTTGACCATGATCTAGTGCCGACCCTCTTAATAAGCTTATATAAACATTCATAAGCTTATATTACGTCACACTCGTGAGCAATCTAGTCCTACTATATCTATGGCTATAACCCGGGCGATGATCGTAGACGCGCCTATTTACTTCCTGGTCAGCGGCAAAAGCCTTGACATAATAATCGCTTTAATACAATATGTTTCTTGTATAAAATTTCCTAACACAAATCAACACAAAGTATACAGCACAGCGCCCACATTGTATTATATGTTCATTTGGCTTTTACAAAATATGCGGTCTTTTTTATAACGAATGTTACTGCAAACGCGCATTGTGAAGTATATTATTCTTTGTTATTGAGCTTGCTTGTAATATGTTCTAAAAGATATTGATCATGCTCAAAAGTATTCTAATCGGTAAGTCTTTTTTATTCGGCACTTTTAAATCTTACAATTTATGTTTTGTATTATTATACAATTGTCATGTCTGATTATGGGCAAGCAAAGTACTCTGTCAGAGTTTGTCCAAAGTCAACATTCAAACAACTTGCATGAAAGTACTACCCACATGAATCACATCCCAACCAGTCTTCACCATAATCTATCTTGCAAATCTTGCATACCAAACAATTTCTCCTAATAAAATAAATTTTACACATTTTACTTATGGTATAGTAAAGAAGCACACAATTTATAACATTACAAATGTCAGATTGATTTTATCGATAATTCCAACAAATAAATCACGACTTTAAAGTTTTTGTCTAGTTTTATGTTTTTGTCAATTAAATAAAATCTATAATTTGCCCCTTTTATTAAAATGTTTAAAAAAATATAATTTTTTTGTTATTACTCATAAATGTCATCATAGCAAGAACCCATAATCGTTGAAGTCACGTGCTGCCTCACTTTTCTCATGTCAAACTTTGCATTTATGTCAAGATTTTGACTCAGATATTCAGCAAACTGAAATGATAAAAATAAAAGAGATTTTTTTTAAATTGTTATTTCTTAGAACACAATGTCAAAACAACTACCAGGCAAATAATTATTCCACAGTTAAACCCATCCTCTTGCACATAGTGTGAAGGCTGAATAATAGACCAAGTTGATGTGTTCCACCCACTTTTAGATCAACAAGGGCTTGTATAAACAAAGGGATTATATTATCAACTGCACTATATCAATGTTGCTGTGTGTATTCAAGACATTGAAGTGATTCATTGAATTAGAATTTCAAATACTGGTATTTGTCAAGGAAGTAATGTATATACTTACCAAATGCTTTTGATAAACTGTGAAAGTTCAACTCTTGTTGCCTCACTGATAACTTCTTCTACATGACCTTCCATAGGATCAAGGTAGTATACCATCTCTTTTTGTTTGTCGATTACCTTTAAAAGTGACAATATTGAAAATAATAAAAATTTGTTGCCTGGTCTTAGCTATGTTGCATCCATATTGTATTTACCAAAAGTGTCCAATGGCTCCCAGACATATTGAGAGGAAATATTATTGTGTCAATTGCCATGAAATTTTGATCTGCCCACAGTCGACGTGTACTAGATCCTCGTTGCACCAACTGACATACATATGATTCTGCTGGTAGGACACCAGGATATTCACATGAAAGTTTCCATAAGAAAGCGTTGATAACCTATAACAATCAGGCTCAATTACCATTTCATCATTTGTCTCTGATGCATGATAATCATATGTAAGCTGTAGAGTGTTTAATCACTTGACTTACTGTATCACTAAGCCATCCAGGTGCCACAGTTTTATTTTCAATTAGTGTGGCAGCATATTTAGTCATCTCATTTGGTGGAATGAGGGTCCATAAATCCTGAAGAGTAACTTTGTTTGGTCCAAATTCTAGCATTTGATCACCTAACTTAATTCCATTTAGAGAGGCATTCAGTAAGCGATCCAGTGGATTTGCCTTGTGCTCAGCTGAGACGTCAATACTACAGTTGCCATTTAGGAAAAGAAAAATGGACTATGTGTAATGGTATAGTCCTCACTCATATTAAATAATTACTACGTAGTAAATATAAATACTACACTGAAATGTTACTACCCCCCCTCTCATCATTACACAAATATTTTTGGAAAATTTTTCTCCATTCAATATTTCTCTATTGCTATATGTTTGTACCTGCTTGAATTTCTTTTTTCATTCTCCTGGTTTTGCACATTAGTGGATACCTATGAAAATAAAAACACTACTTTCAGAAAATACTCGTGACGAGATGTAATCTAAAGAATTACGAACAACTTTTTCAAACGTTGTTTTCGAGTATGGCAAAAATGAGTGCGATTTAGGAGACATAAACCCACAATTTTGGTGATGTCCTTCATATCGTATATCTAATGGCTGGTGAAAATTACTTTTGAAACAATACTTTAATAATATATTGGAAAGTAAGGTAAGTGCGTTTGTCTTTTTACTCTTTTCTGAGGAATAAGAAATTTTTTAAACATAAAAGTAATCATTTGAGAGAAGCTTTTTTAAGAAATGACAAGAAAGCAATTCAATAACTTGTCTTACTTGTGCCATTTCATCGCCCACATTAGTAAGATCTATTTGAAATGGTGTAGATTTTTTTGTCTTGCGTCGTCTGGGAGGAGGTAGGGCCTTATGAAAGATTTGATGGTATTTTGTCTCGGTAACCTTTATTTTTTTTTTTCACAGGACTCAATCGAAGAGGCAAACCATTTTCTGTGGGAAAGTTTTGTTCAAGAAACTGTTTCAAGCTTTCAGCTCTTTGCACTGCTTCTTGTAGAGTGGTCTCGTTGTCGATCAGGAAGGTCATACTGTGTATTTGGCCCAGTTGTTCTTGCAAGATCTTTCTGAGCCTTTTGGAACTTTTGTTTGAGGTAGTTTCAAACTTAACTGTTTCTTCGTGGGGTATGTCGTGGATATATTTTTTGTTATCAGAAGACAACGATTCTTGCAAAACAACGTCTCTTTTGATGGTGCTCCATGATGACGTATTGGCTTCCTCTAGTTCTTCTGGCGTAGTATCTTGTGGCAATCCAAGAGGTTCATTGTCGAGAGTGATGAAAACGCTATTTCGGTAGTCTTCTGGAAGACTTTCGAAATCCCACTCGTCATAGAAAGAAAAAACTGCGAAAAAATGTTTGCAAGGGAAATGGGTAGTGTGCCATATGTTGCAGGTACAACTTGGTTCTCGGAAGTCTATGAAATGTTTCTTTCCAACATTGCTCTCGCTCTTGACATTGAACGTGCCCTTCTTTAAATTAACCGGAGTTATGTCGTCCTGTTTGAAAATGGCTGAAGCGTATCGATTTTAAGGCAACATTTCAAAAAGTGCGGAGGTCTGTTGTTCAAGTATTCTGGGATTGATGGGTTGTACTTGCAGTAGGCGCTGCTCAGTCGCAGGTTTGCATCCAAATAGTGCTGAAGAACATCGGGAATGAAAGATTCAACCAACATCACCGCAATACCAAACACAGATTTGTCAATACTTTGGGGTAAGTATTCGTATTTAAAGACTCTGTTTTGATCCTCAACGCCATTGTTAGTATTAACAATGTTGGTGACTTGCTGTTTTCGAAAAGCGTGTGCCCATCTGACAGCGCAAGAAAACCACGTACGGTCAACATATTCTCTCATCTTGCTGCATTCTTTATACACTTTGGGTTTCGAGAATCTTTTATTGCCTTGTCGTACTCCTGTTTGGTACTGACATTAGCAATCTTCTTCATTTGCAAAAGGAAGTGTTGTTGCTGTTCATATGACAATCCATTCTTGCTTGCTGAAGCCCACCGTTTTAGCGCTTGCAACCTGTGAAAGTCGCAAACATAAACCTGTACATCGGGAAAACTTTTTTCTATCGCGCCTATTTCTGCTAATGAGTAATCCACCATAAAATATTTTGGGTTCCATACTGGATTCCATCCTTTTATAATAGCCAGAGCCTCTTCTATGGCTTCTTCGGTCTCCGTCTGGCACATAAATTCAGCCACAACTTTGTAGCCAACGTTTGAATGAACGCACACAAAGAAAAGCGGTAATGCGTACCTTGTTGTTTTGTACGTGGCGTCCATGAGACACAATTGTTCGCCATAACGAATCAACATTCGTTGTTGCCAATGCTCTTGATGCACAAACAAAAACTTTTTATCCTTCTTTGGAGGAATATCGTTTCTGGAAGCGTTATCTCTTGTGCGGTAGAAAAACTTGCTGCTTGGAGAATTCTGTTTCCAGGTTTCTACCTTCCTGCGCAGGGACTCTTGATCGTCTTTGCAGTCCTTAAGGGACTCTATTGCTTTTGCTACGTGGTTTCAAACATCCTTTTATTTGGATAGTACCGTTTATTTGTCTTGCGCGGTATAGCCTTTTGTCCGTCTTGTGGAAATAAAGTCTCTTCAACGTATCGATCAAGACACTTTTGACTTCTGAGATTTTGATTACATTGCGTTTTACCAAACTATAAACTTTCGTGACCAGTCGGTAATCCATTCGCTGCCCAACTGTTGCCGTGGCACCAAAGGCGTGACTTGAATGAGCACTACTAAGAGGTATTTTATGTAAAACGACTGCTGGCGCAAAGCTGTGAGGAGGAATCGTTATCCATTTTTCCTTAATCTCTAAATACTCTCCATTTTGCCATAACCAAGCTGTTTTCTGATGTAAATTGTTTTCGATCGATGTAGTAGTCGAGAAATACTCTGACTTATCTTATTTGCACTTGTGCTGGGCAATCCAGTTTTCTACTGTTCTGTAATCGAATCCGTCCCTTTTCTTCATAATCATGGTCACTTTTTACGTCGTGTCTGCGAGTGCCTCTGCTGTCCTGAGAAGTTTGTTAAAATAAAACAGTGTGGTGTCAAGACAAATTGTGCACAAATAAATCTTAAATATCATAACGAAAAATACATACTTTCGCGCTCTCATGTAAACAATGTCTTGTTTCGTTGCTCACAATCAAAACGGATTTCCAAAACTCAATTGGAATATTTCTTCTTGCTTTCAAACACTGGCGGTGCTAGAAAAATAAATGATATGTTTTTCAGCATTTTGTTTGTCTTCAAGTAAAACATTCTTATTATGCTAAGCTATGCAGATGTGTTAGATAATAAAATGTATTTAAAAAGATAGCAAAATAATTGGCGAGTCATTGAACGGTTTTTCCTAATGAGTTTTTGCTAATATAGATAGAAATGACTGTTAGATTCGATTCTTCTAACTCCATAATGGAATGTCTTTGCGACTATAAAATGTTAATTGGTCATGCAATATTAAAGAAGGGGAGGGAATGTAGTAGGCTTGGCTGCCCAATTCATGCGTCGGTTGAAAATTTCTTGGTGTTTTCTCGCTTTAGTTTGGGGTAAGATGCTTGATGCGGTTGAGTTGATTACCTGTGACTGAAAAACGTTTATTGCCCTTGTTTTTGAGTGGTTGTCAGCTTTCACAAACGAGATAGAATCAATTACCTAAATTCAAAACCTCTTTCACTTTTCAAATATATTAACGCGTGAAATCAATTTATCAAGGTTTACGTATTACGGCCTTTGAAAGTTAACTGTTCAACAATTACAAAAACCTTTTCAAGCCGACAATTTGAAGAAATAAATTATAAAACATACTTCAAAAAACATGATCTTGTAAACTTAGCTATATTAGCTTTATAATGACTTTGAAATAATGTCAAAATATTGCTTTTAGATTTTGTTTCTTGCTATTATAACTTTGAGTTTACATGATGATGTTTTTCGGAATATGTTACAAATTGTTTGCAGTATGGTGCAACAATTGAAAACAAACTACGAGCTGAAACTGTTCAAGAAGTTCTTCCATTTGCTCCACCGTTCCATCAATGTATCCTGTGCAGTAATTTTCCAGAATTTGCACACTTGCGAGTTTTTCTCTAAGGAAGTTTACTTGTTTATTTGAGCATTCTGCAGATTCACGCTGAAGAATTGTCTGCGCCATATACTGAGTATGAAACACGAAATTTGTTCCTTAATATATTTTATTCTGTTGAAATGTTTAATAATGAGTTAGAGCAAATACTCGAACGCTTATACGTCTTTATATGAATTTCATTCCACGAGCCAGTAATGTGCCCACTATTTTTTTCACTTTTGATGCGAGTTTTTTATATTTTTTCTTAACTAGTTGGAGTTAAGGCGAGACCGATAAAGCACTTGAAAAACGCAAGTACCTATACGTAAGAATGAAAAGTGCGCGAATATTGAACATATAAATTAAAGATAGGCTATCTAGGTGCAGTTAAGGCGAGACCGATAAAGCACTTGAAAACGCAAGTACATATACGTAAGAATGAAAAGTGCGTGAATATTGAACATATAAATTAAGGATAGGCTATCTAGGTGCAGTTAAGGCGAGACCGATAAAGCACTTGAAAACGCAAGTACATATACGTAAGAATGAAAAGTGCGTGAATATTCAGCATAATGAGTATAGGCATTGAGGATAGGCCATTTCCTATGATCTAAGTAGTAGCTTCTAGATTTAATCTCTACGTAAATTTAACGTCACAATGCGCGTCTGAAGCAACATTTGTTATAAAATGACGACAGGTTTTGAGCAGAATACTTAGGATTAGAATACTATTGAGCATCATCAATATCTTATAGAACATATTACAAGCAAGCTCAATAACAAAGAACAATATACTTCACAATGCGCGTTTGCAGTAACATTCGTTATAAAAAAGACCGCATATTTTGTAAAAGCCAAATGAACATATAATACAATGTGGGCGCCGTGCTGTATACTTTGTGTTGATTTGTGTTATGAAATTTTATACAAGAAACATATTGTACTTATAGCGATTATTATGTCAAGGAATTTGCCGCTGACCAGGAAGTTAATAGGCGCGTCCCCGATCATCGCCCGGGTTATAGCAAACCCCCATTAGAATAGACCAGTGAATTCTACAATATTAAGTGGATTGTGTGTATTTTACATATTTTAGGACTTGTTTAGTGTAGTGTGCAGGGAGGCTCAGTGGATTGCAGTAAAACCAGTGAATAGAACATGGGGGGGGTTTGTACTTTTGTGTATTCAAAAGTAACGCCGCCCCAGCCCGAGTTAAAATGTTGCAGCTGTTCGTCATATTATTGCATTCATGTGACAACCCTTGCAAAAGCCATGCAAATCGTTGAAGAGGATGAAATGGATTCTCCATTAGCACTTTTTAAGTTTTCCTTTGGAATTACACCAGAGATGCCAGATCATTTTCAAATGGCTACACTTAGCAAAGAAAAGGTTTCTTTATTTGAAACAGGTATGCAAGATAATCTGCAATGGTGAACATCCTTTTAGCTTTACATATACTATTTCCTCTATCGGTATGGTATTTAGCACTTTCTAGCAGTTTGTAAATATTACAATTTAATTATTTTAGGCAATGAGAATGATGCAAGCGATTTTACTGATCTTCCTGAAAAAAATAGTCATAATATTTTGGCGCCATCTGAAAGTGGTATTTGTTCTTGTGGTGCAGAGTGGGATAAACGTTCTATTCAAGATGAATGGTTGTAGGTAGACTTGTGTTCAGTTGCGTACTTTTATTCAATCCATGATGTGAAGGGTAAGTTCTGATTTGTTATAGGTTACGCTTCACTTCATAATTTTTTGACTTAAATAGATTATTTAGTGTATTGTAGACCTTGCTCCTCTTGTGCTACGAAAAAGCATTATGATGGCATTTAAAACAGGATTGTATGGTTTGGATCATATGCAATATCTCATTCCGTGCTAAAAGATTACATTCGGCTTTTCATAACGTCGAGGTACTTTTTAATGAAAATTTGCCAAAACATTAGTAGCTACGTTTGTCCATTATTTAATTTTCTCGCCCTATCTCTTTTGAATGTTTTTTCTTTTTTATTCTTGTTCAGTTTACCTATGTACAAATATTATGTTGCATATGTACAAAGGCAAGTGTCTTCGGGTAATTTTAGTTTCCCAAAGGAAATAACTTACGTCAAGTTTCGTCTCGCTAGCATTGCCATGATACGGTAAGCATCGTTTCATTTTCAGCTGTAAAATATGAATATTCCATTGAGATAGTGATCGCTTGTTTTATTAAGTTATTGAATTTTCTCTTATTAAAGTGCTTATATTACGAATTTTAGCCCCCCTTTTTTATGAGCTTAATTGAACGAACTTGTTTCAGTGATTTTAAATCTGCAATTATAATTGAAATTGGATTGGTGAAAGTGATTTTACGGACGTTCAAAGTCACGATTTTCAGCATTTTTTTTGCGAACTTTTTGATCGGTATGCTAATGACTTGTGACGTAGAAAGTTGAACACATATATCAACATGGCGTATTCTACTTGTAATCTTAATAAGAAACGCAGAGGAAAACGCTTTGTTGCTGGCGGACCTAATCAAATTAGTTGCGCCAATGATTCAAAAACCCGAAGGAATGTCGATGCATCTGTTTCCTAAAAAAGAAACAGAGCCGCAAAGACATAGAAAATGGGTAAATTTTGTGCGTAAACATAGACCGGGCTTTGAGGCTTCCTCTACCTCGTGTCTGTGTTCTGCGCATTTTGAATATTCCTGTTTTGACCTTAATTTGAGCGTGCAAGTCAAGCTCAAAAGAAGGTTGAAAGAAGATGCTATCCCAACCATTGACGTGGCTGGGATTCCTGAACCATTACAGGACGAAATAACCGATCGAAAGCGAAGACAAGTAAGTTTACGCTTGTTTATGTAAATTTTTCTTTTGTCATATGTAAATTCGATATAAGTTTTGTAGATTATTCGACATACTCTCCATAAGCCATCGCTGAAGGAAACATGTTTTCACGATGAGGAAGTACCATCTACTAGTGATGGAGCTGAGCATGTTGAAGTATGTACTGGGGAAGCAAACGATTCGCCATTTGAAGAAGAACTGCATGCAGTTGGTGAAGATATTTGTGAATCCCAGTCTCCATGTGAATCGTGCCATCGTCTTAAGAAAAAACTTACATCTTTACAAAAGACTTTAAGCTGGTATAAAAAGACAAAAGCATCTTTGAAGAAAAAGGCCCAGAAGTTGCAAAATGAATATCAAAGCGAAATCAGGGAAAATCGTAATACATCCGTGGTGACCAGCATTAATATAGACGATGGAATGCAGGAGAGTGCTGAAGAGCTTTTTGAAGGAGAATCATACATGGACTACTCCTCTTTTGAAGAGTCTAGTCGGAGTGAAGATTTAGATGAAGATACCACAGGTAATACAGTCAGGTATTTTATCTTATAAAGAATTAGATCTCTGTTGTATTTCATAATAATGAATTTTCTTAATCGTGTTACAGAATTGATGGAGGAGAAAGCTCGCATGAACAACCTATGTTTATGGTATTTTACATCTCATTGGTTGAGTTATTTGAAAAATTTTGCTTTAACTGCAAGGCTGAAAATCCAAAAGTACACATTAAAAACATTGGTTCGATGGCCATTGTAGAGCAAAATTGTGGTAAATGTGTTGAAAAGAACTTTATGTGGTAAACACAAGCAAGTATAGGCTGAGTATTCTCCCATCCCATAGACCCACAAAACCATTGCATCAACCATCTGTATGCCACAGCTCTCAAGTATCTGAAGTAAATAAAAAGGTTGGACTAATTATTGTTGATGAAACAATGTTGATGATAAATTGTTTCTCATACAATTTACAATCTTACATATTTAATGATTGTAATGCTTGGCGGCGATAAGCACGTCCATTCCTATCTCTCAATAATGGCCTGACGTTTTCAAGGACAGCCTCATGAACTAAAGGCCCAATGATATTTTCTCAATGCTGCCATCGAATGTCATTTTCTGCATAGCAAGTCCTATTTCTTTACAGCATCTGTACTCTAATGCGCCTTCTAACAAATCGGTATAACAGCATTGACAATTACACCTGAAACGTGGGAGCATTGTGGTTTATAAAGTAACTTTATGTTTATTACAAACAGGAGAATACAACAACTTACCATTCACCGAGTGGAATTACGCCATCACTTCGTTGTTCTAATGTCGCAGGGAGAATTCCATCGGGATCATCTGGAGTATGCACTTCATCACCATCTCCTGCGAGCGCTTCATCGTCATATGCGAAGTCGTTTAAATGCTCAACATAACCCACGGATTCCGAACTCGAATCAGATACGCATTCAGACATCGAATTCGAATTATCTGAGCACTGATTTGAGGCCGTACTTTCCGGAAAACTTGTTTTTTAATATTTTATTGAAAATACTGTCATTATTTGTTTTTAAGACAAGAAAAACGACAATAAAGTCACCTCCTATAATATAATATTATATTGACGGAAAAAGACGTGTTCAACTATCTACGTCACAAGTATCAATATGGCGTCGTAAAAAATTCGCAAATAGTACCCGACTTTGGAGGCAAAATTAAGGAACTTATATTTATCTGTTTAAGTCCAGCGACATGTCATAGTTCTTCAAATAATCCAAATTTTCAATTAAGCTCCTAAAAAATGGGGGCTAAAATTCGTAATATAAGCACTTTAAGGTTGCTTGATATTGATTTTGACAATGGGTTTTTTTGTGAATTATGTGGAAGAATTCCCCAAAAGGTGGTGATGGATGGAACAACTCTTGGAATACAGAAAAATTTCTTACCAAATAATTTAAGAGAGTCTGATAATGGATTGCTAGATGGAAGATAAGTATTTTTGAAGTTTATCTGTAATATATAGTATATACAGGTCTGCTAATTAGTAAATACGAGTGTTCATCTACGTATCAGAAAGCATTTTATGCATGATAGTGACTTCTCTCACTTTTTTTTTGTACACAGCTTATAGTTATAAAAATAACAACCTGTTTTCTTTTGTCCAATACTAGGTTTGAAATGCGCAATTTCGTCAACAGGAGAAATGTGCGAGCTTTATTGAAGAAGTACAGTGATTCAAAGCTAAGTTGGGACGAATTTCAAGAATTAAAATCTGAAGTAAGAAGAATTTATTACCCCACGAGTACAAAATTTTGCATGACCACTCCAGAGCTCATTTTATACTACAATTTCTCGTATTTATAGATATCTTCAAAGGGGCTTAGGACTCTACTTGAATGGTTAGAGAAACAAGGATTTATCACTAGTTGTCCAAACTCGTGCAGAAGATTATTGGCAGCATTCACTTCTGACAAACCAGTATGCGCAATTGTGCCCCCAAAGGATAAGTTTTGGACCTCTTGATAAGGATGTCTGATGGAGCCAATCCAAAGACAATCCTTCGACTGATTTAAAACTTCTTCATGAAGAAGTGCCCCTACTGTTTAACGTCATTGAGACTAGCGAAGAAATTCCTATTACTATTCAACCGCTGCTAAAGGAATTGGTACAAAAGGCTATAAGTCCGTTCGAGGTCAAGGACGGTCAGTGGGGTTTTCCACACAACTTACCTGCGGTGTCTCAAAATTCGTCCATTGGATATATACCTTGTCTGCCAGAACTGGTTCATCGAGGGAATTATGTTCTTGACAATAGGAAGACACAGCTGGGAGATTGTGCCAAAATCACTAGACCCAAGAAGAAGCATGGCACTTTGATCCCTGGAATGTTTTGCATTCTTTGTCCCCACGGTATTTACATGATGAACAGCGCCAACGAAAATTTGTTTTACTATTGCAGTAAGTGACATTGCGCCTTCGTTTTTGTTTCCAGGTATATGTTTTGGATTCGAAATAATGAGGGATCACGAATCACCAAATATCCCATTTACCATTTTACGAACATGTTTTCCTGATGGTAAGTTACGTATGTGTGTACCTTTTATGGTGCTACAGAGTATTATCAGTGAATCAGACAGCTTGCATGACGGTTTAGTCGCCTGACAGAGTTTTCAGTGCAGTAACATAACCGAATGTGCCTGATGATATGCATATGTATTTTTATTTCTTTAGCGCCAGAGTTGGTCATTTACGATAATGCCTGCAGATTGCACGAGTATTGTTTGAACCGAGATCCAGCATTTTTTAAGAAAACAAAATTTGTTGTTGATAAGTTTCATTGGAAAAAATCATTCAGGTAAACTGCCATACTCTTCCTATTTTACTTGAAGCGAACTTATTGATCCAAAAATGGCCGTTTTTATGTTCTCACAAAATTTGTTGATTTATAACTGTCCTTTATGTGTAGGATGCTGCGAAGGATATAACATGAAATTGTACCCCATGCTCAATATGTACAATAGTCAAGCTGCTGAACAGTGCAATTCGTGTATTAAGCCTCTTGCCTCCATGGTTTCTTACATGGAATACGATAACTTTTTTCTTTTTATAAAACTTCATATTTGGCACAGGAATATGTTGCGCATTGTTAAATACAATCCTGAGAGAGAAATAGCCTACAAACACTATTTTCTCACTCTTAGTCGCGTTATTCATTAGTAACGTGTTATAGTTTCGTTTTTCGAAAAATTTAAACTTGTTTTTATGAATAGTTTTATCTGTACAAAATGTTACTTCATTTCCTTTTCCTTAGTAATGTTGTCGCAGAATTCTGAGTGCTTCAGGTCCGTCATCTCGAGCTTCCCGTATCACCTAGGATAAACTTCTGTCGTCTAAACACTGGACTAGTTCTGCGCAAGCATCTGCTTTCTTCGCTGCGCTCGGTGAGGATTCACTGTTCTCAAGAACGAACACATCATACAATTTTGTAGTCTCATTTGCGCCAAGAACTTTACTTCCCAAAGCTCATACTTATTTTCATCTCCGTTGAACATTATTGCTCTCCTGGGCCCATAACCTGTTGGGTTTGATGCAGTGGCCATGATTAATAATCACACTGATGTCTGGAGGTTTTATTACATTTATTCCCACACATAGAAGAAAGACTAGCATACGACAATTAACTGATATACATAATAATACAGCAATTTACATACGTGACGCTAAACTATGATTGGTCAGTTTATTTCCTCAGCTCTTGTTACAAATAATATCGATTACGTCTACAATCATTTCTATAATTAAACATGTAGGAAGTTAACACACACTTTACAAGATACACATATACACATCACATGAGAACATAACCTATCAGGTTATATATGCCGAAAACTGGCATACTTTATATTTCTATCACATTCTTCTAAATACTTTAACACTCTTAGCATTGTAATCACTCGTTTAAACACAAACTAACAGTGTCTCTGTACTGAAACGTTTTTTCGACCATGGTTATATAGGCCGAAAACAGGTACTCTTTATATTTCTATCACATTCTTCTAATACTTTAACACTCTTAGCATTGTAATCACTCGTTTAAACTCAAACTAACAGTGTCTCTGTAATGAAACGTTTTTACGACCATGGTTATATAGGCCGAAAACTGGCATACTTTATATTTCTACCACAATCTTCTAAACACATTAACACTGTTAGCATTCTCGTCACTCGTTTAAACTTTAACTAACAGTGTCTCTGTAATAAAATGTTTTTACGACCATGGTTATATGCCGAAAACTGGCATACTTTATATTTCTACCACATTCTTCTAAACACTCAAACACTGTTAGCATTCTCATCACTCGTTTACACTTAAACTAACAATGTCTCAGTAACAATACGTTTTTACGACCATGGTTATATATGCCGAAAACTGGCATACTTTATATTTCTACCACATTGTTATAAACACTCTAACACTGTTAGCATTCTCGTCACTCGTTTAAACTCAAACTAACAGTGTCTCTGTAATAAAACATTTTTACGACCATGGTTATATATTCCCCAAACTGGCATACTTTATAGTTCTACCACATTCTTCTAAATACTTTAACACTGTTAGCATTCTCGTCACTCGTTTAAACTAAGACTAACAGTGTCTCTGTAATAAAGCGTTTTTCGACCATGGTGTTATATGATTATAGTAAGTACATAAAACGCCACTTCTGTCATGTGTCACAACTGCGCAATGTCTAGCTAGGAGTCTTTTCTACTTGAGTAGTCCAGTTGTCGTTTGGTCAGAGGTAGGCACGTTTTTGGTCAGCGGAGACCCTCATTTAGATGGTGGTATTTGTGGTTGAAAGGGAATGCTATAACCCAATGATCGGGGACGCGCCTATTAAATTCCTGGTCAGCGGCAAAAGCCTTGACATAATAATCGCTATAAGTACAATATGTTTCTTGTATAAAATTTCATAACACAAATCAACACAAAGTATACAGCACAGCGCCCACATTGTATTGTATGTTCATTTGGCTTTTACAAAATATGCGGTCTTTTTATAACGAATGTTACTGCAAACGCGCATTGTGAAGTATATTATTCTTTGTTATTGAGCTTGCTTGTAATATGTTCTATAAGATATTGATGATGCTCAATAGTATTCTAATCCTAAGTATTCTGCTCAAAACCTGTCGTCATTTTTATAACAAATGTTGCTTCAGACGCGCATTGTGACGTTAAATTTACGTAGAGATTAAATCTAGAAGCTACTACTTAGATCATAGGAAATGGCCTATCCTCAATGCCTATACTCATTATGCTGAATATTCACGCACTTTTCATTCTTACGTATATGTACTTGCGTTTTTCAAGTGCTTTATCGGTCTCGCCTTAACTGCACCTAGATAGCCTGTCTTTAATTTATATGTTCAATATTTGCGCACTTTTCATTCTTACGTATAGGTACTTGCGTTTTTCAAGTGCTTTATAATGCTCGCCTTAACTCCAACTAGTTAAGAAAAAATATAAAAACCTCGCATCAAAAGTGAAAAAAATAGTGGGCACATTACTGGCTCGTGGAATGAAATTCATATAAAGACGTATAAGCGTTCGAGTATTTGCTCTAACTCATTATTAAACATTTCAACAGAATAAAATATATTAAGGAACAAATTTCGTGTTTCATACTCAGTATATGGCGCAGACAATTCTTCAGCGTGAATCTGCAGAATGCTCAAATAAACAAGTAAACTTCCTTAGAGAAAAACTCGCAAGTGTGCAAATTCTGGAAAATTACTGCACAGAATAAATTGATGGAACGGTGGAGCAAATGGAAGAACTTCTTGAACAGTTTTAGGTCTCGTAGTTTGTTTTCAATTGTTGCACCATATTGCAAACAATTTGTAACATATTCCGAAAAACATTATGTTAACTCAAAATTTCAGTTATAATAGCAAGAAACAAAATCTAAAAGCAATATTTTGACATTATTTCATAGTCATTATAAAGCTAATATAGCTAAGTTAACAAGATCATGTTTTTTGAAGTATGTTTTATAATTTATTTCTTCAAATTGTCGGCTTGAAAAGGTTTTTGTAATTGTTGAACAGTTAACTTTCAAAGGCCGTAATACATAAACCTTGATAAATTGATTTCACGCGTTAATATACTTGAAAAGTGAAAGAGGTTTTTGAATTTAGGTAATTGATTCTATCTCGTTTGTGAAAGCTGATAACCACTCAAAAACAATGGGCAATAAATGTTTTTCACTTACAGGTAATCAACTCAACCGCATCAAGCATCTTACCCCAAATTAAAGCGAGAAAACACCAAGAAATTTTCAACCAACGCATAAATTGGGCAGCCAAGCCTGCTACACCCCCCCCCCTTCTTTAATATTGCACGACCAATTAACATTTTATAGTCGCAAAGACATTCCATTATGGAGTTAGAAGAATCGAATCTAACAGTCATTTCTATCTATATTAGCAAAAAACTCATTAGGAAAAAACCGTTCAATGACTCGCCAATTATTTTGCTATCTCTTTTAAATACATTTTATTATCTAACACATCTGCATAGCTTAGCATAATAAGAATGTTTTACTTGAAGACAAACAAAATGCTGAAAAAACATATCATTTATTTTTTCTAGCACCGCCAGTGTTTGAAAGCAAGAAGGGAAATATTCCAATTGAGTTTTTTGGAAATCCGTTTTTGATTGTGAGCAACGAAACAAGACATTGTTTACATGAGAGCGCGAAAGTATGTATTTTTCGTTATGATATTTAAGATTTATTTGTGCACAATTTGTCTTGACACCACACTGTTTTATTTTAACAAACTTCTCAGGACAGCAGAGGCACTCGCAGACACGACGTAAAAAGTGACCATGATTATGAAGAAAAGGGACGGATTCGATTACAGAACAGTAGAAAACTGGATTGCCCAGCACAAGTGCAAATAAGATAAGTCAGAGTATTTCTCGACTACTACATCGATCGAAAACAATTTACATCAGAAAACAGCTTGGTTATGGCAAAATGGAGAGTATTTAGAGAGATTAAGGAAAAAATGGATAACGATTCCTCCTCACAGCTTTGCGCCAGCAGTCGTTTTTACATAAAAATACCTCTTAGTAGTGCTCATTCAAGTCACGCCTTTGGTGCCACGGCAACAGTTGGGCAGCGAATGGATTACCGACTGGTCACGAAAGTTTATAGTTTGGTAAAACGCAATGTAATCAAAATCTCAGAAGCCAAAAAGTGTCTTGATCGATACGTTGAAGAGACTTTATTTCCACAAGACAAACAAAAGGCTATACCGCGCAAGACAAATAAACGGTACTATCCAAATAAAAAGGATGTTCGAAACCACGTAGCAAAAGCAATAGAGTCCCTTAAGGACTGCAAAGACGATCAAGAGTCCCTGCGCAGGAAGGTAGAAACCTGGAAACAGAATTCTCCAAGCAGCAAGTTTTTCTACCGCACAAGAGATAACGCTTCCAGAAACGATATTCCTCCAAAGGAGGATAAAAAGTTTTTGTTTGTGCATCAAGAGCATTGGCAACAAAGAATGTTGATTCGTTATGGCGAACAATTGTGTCTCATGGACGCCACGTACAAAACAACAAAGTACGCAATACCGCTTTTCTTTGTGTGCGTTCATTCAAACGTTGGCTACAAAGTTGTGGCTGAATTTAAGTGCCAGACGGAGACCGAAGAAGCCATAGAAGAGGCTCTGGCTATTATAAAAGGATGGAATCCAGTATGGAACCCAAAATATTTTATGGTGGATTACTCATTAGCAGAAATAGGCGCGATAGAAAAAAGTTTTCCCGATGTACAGGTTTATGTTTGCGAATTTCACAGGTTGCAAGCGCTAAAACGGTGGGCTACAGCAAGCAAGAATGGATTGTCATATGAACAGCAACAACACTTCCTTTGCAAATGAAGAAGATTGCTAATGTCAGTACCAAACAGGAGTACGACAAGGCAATAAAAGATTCTCGCAAATCCGAAGTGTATAAAGAATGCAGCAAGATGAGAGAATATGTTGACCGTACGTGGTTTTCTTGCGCTGTCAGATGGGCACACGCTTTTCGAAAACAGCAAGTCACCAACATTGTTAATACTAACAATGGCGTTGAGGATCAAAACAGAGTCTTTAAATACGAATACTTACCCCAAAGTATTGACAAATCTGTGTTTGGTATTGCGGTGATGTTGGTTGAATCTTTCATTCCCGATGTTCTTCAGCACTATTTGGATGCAAACCTGCGACTGAGCAGCGCCTACTGCAAGTACAACCCATCAATCCCAGAATACTTGAACAACAGACCTCCGCACTTTTTGAAATGTTGCCTTCAAAATCGATACGCTTCAGCCATTTTCAAACAGGACAACATAACTCCGGTTAATTTAAAGAAGGGCACGTTCAATGTCAAGAGCGAGAGCAATGTTGGAAAGAAACATTTCATAGACTTCCGAGAACCAAGTTGTACCTGCAACATATGGCACACTACCCATTTCCCTTGCAAACATTTTTACGCAGTTTTTTCTTTCTATGACGAGTGGGATTTCGAAAGTCTTCCAGAAGACTACCGAAATAGCGTTTTCATCACTCTCGACAATGAGCCTCTTGGATTGCCACAAGATACTACGCCAGAAGAACTAGAGGAAGCCAATACGTCATCATGGAGCACCATCAAAAGAGACGTTGTTTTGCAAGAATCGTTGTCTTCTGATAACAAAAATATATCCACGACATACCCCACGAAGAAACAGTTAAGTTTGAAACTACCTCAAACAAAAGTTCCAAAAGGCTCAGAAAGATCTTGCAAGAACAACTGGGCCAAATACACAGTATGACCTTCCTGATCGACAACGAGACCACTCTACAAGAAGCAGTGCAAAGAGCTGAAAGCTTGAAACAGTTTCTTGAACAAAACTTTCCCACAGAAAATGGTTTGCCTCTTCGATTGAGTCCTGTGAAAAAAATAAAGGTTACCGAGACAAAATACCATCAAATCTTTCATAAGGCCCTACCTCCTCCCAGACGACGCAAGACAAAAAAATCTACACCATTTACAATAGATCTTACTAATGTGGGCGATGAAATGGCACAAGTAAGACAAGTTATTGAATTGCTTTCTTGTCATTTCTTAAAAAAGCTTCTCTCAAATTATTACTTTTATGTTTAAAAAATTTCTTATCCGTCCGAAAAGAGTAAAAAGACAAAAGCACTTATCTTACTTTCCAATATCTTATTAAAGTGTTGTTTCAAAAGTAATTTTCACCAGCCATTAGATATACGATACGAAGGACACCACCAAAATTGTGGGTTTATGTCTTTTAAGTCGCACTCATTTTTGCCATACTCGAAAACAACGTTTGAAAAAGTTGTTCGTAATTCTTTAGATTACATCTCGTCACGAGTATTTTTTGAAAGTAGTCTTTTTATTTTCATAGGTGTCCACTAATGTGCAAAACCAGGAGAATGAAAAAAGCAATTCAAGCAGGTACAAGCACATAGCAATAGAGAAATATTGAATGGAGAAAAATTTTCAAAAAATATTTGTGCAATGATGAGAGGGGGGTAGTAACATTTCAGTGTAGTATTTATATTTGCTATGTAGTAATTATTTAATATGAGTGAGGACTATATTGTAATTCTTCAAAAGACATAAAAAGTTCTTTGCCATCAATTTTTGCTTCTTCCACATTCAACTTCATTGCAACCAATGCATCTTATGTGAATTTTTAATCACCTGGAATTGAAAAATGTATGGATTTTGTCAGATGATGCAGTACTGTATTTAATGTTTCATGCATGTCATGATAAGCTTTTCTTGAGCAAATATTTCAAGGTAGGAGCAAAATTTGGCACATTATTGAACAAAGTAGTTTTTATCTTGATTTTGATGTACTAACCTGTTTAGTACACTGTGTAACAAACAATTCATTTACAGAAACACCATATGGCATTTATAAAACTTTTAGCATAAAGCAAACCTTTACATACCATCATCATGATTGTCCAAATCTGTCAAATTGTCCAGGCTAGCTGTTTAATACAGGTAATTTTTATTGTACGACATGTACCAAAGAGCTCATTAATTAATCCTGCACTGCATTTGATTTCAATACAGCTCTGTCCTTAATATTTGCTTCATATTTTCAGAAAAATATCATGAAAAAATCCTCCATTTCAACTCAGTTGAAACAAGGAGATTTAAGATATGCATATCTCGAGAAGAACTGGTTGCTTTGCCTCGTCTAGCAATCGATTAAGTAAAGAACAAATAAGAATGGATAAACATAACTTAAATTACAACTTAGGAGTAAAAACATTCACAAAATATATGCCATCACACTTCAAGTATTGACTTAAAACAAAACACTGAACACTTTAAATAGTAAACAATCTTACGTTGCTTACCGGTATCATGAAATGTTTCCTTTTCTGGCATTACTTCAGCATCCGTATACCAAACAAGTTTGCAGCATGTTTTAAAGATAAAATTTCTAAAAGTTTTTGTGCTTGGCATTGATATTTTATATAATCGCAATTGTGGTTGTCAAATCCGGGTGGGCGAAAAAATTTTATTTTATGAGCCCGCGTCTTCCGCTGACTTTGACAACCAAAATCCGCCATGTTTTTGACCACGCGGCCGCGCGCTAATAATTTATACTAATTTTGTTGACGTTTCCCCTCCAGGTCTTATAGAACTCAATGATTCCCCGTGGTTGAAATGCCAGAAAATGGATGCGACACATATATCTAATGAAACACCAATTGTGAATATAGAGGACATAATCTCGGCCGCAGAAGCAAAAGATGAACAGAAATTTAAATCAACAGAAGTAAATAAATTGATCGAACCTCAATTTGATGTTAGAAACCTTTTATTAACTGACATAAATATTGTGGAAAAAAGTAGCTTCAAGTGAGTTTTTCCTTCTTCACAATCCTATTGATTTATTGTGACATTTATAGCAATAACACCATCTCGTAGTACAGTCTTTCCTTATAAACTTTTCATTGTATTTATTACTGAACGTAGAAAGAAGAAAGATGAAATTCTACGTGACAATGCTTGTGACAACACGCAATTTCTTTTGAATTGCATCTGGAAGGTTTGAAAATTTATGTTTTTTGGCGAAGCCCATGGGCATAGGTCCAATGTTGACATACTCTTTTGTAAGGTTCAATTCTCTCTCCACCAAAGGTTTTTAAATTATCTCATTCAATGTTAAACTTTTTTATGTAATTATGCTCTGTGGTATAATCAGTAGTGTAGCCAGCCTTCACAGTTTTCTCCTGCTGTGCAATTTTCACAGCATTATTTCTTTAGAAATTTGTTGTTTTCCAATGAGTAAACACACAATAGTTGGCATAGCTAGGCCAAATTTACGGGCTGGCTATGCCAGTCAGTGTGATATTGCAATGTTTAAATTCATTTTTTGTCTATTTTGTCAGATTTATATGTAGTTCTAGATATAGTCAGTGTTCTTTCTTTTCCAGCTGCCAGTTGAAAAGTGTGACAATGTTGTTTTGTTACAGGTTAGTAGAAAACTTGTTGCTTATGGTTTTCTTAAAAGTTGTATTTGTAAAATTAGAATGCCTCCTACGTAGTTTTACCATTCTTAAATTGCCCTAAAAATGTTATAAATAAAAATATTCATGATTTCTATCATACTTCGGATTCAGCAAGTGCCTATAGGGATATGAATTATATAGTTGTGATGCCATGTGTTGTTTTGCATCATGCGCATCCCTAATTATGATAATTTACAGTAAATTAGAAACCGATAATCTGTTTTACTAAACATGGTTTTAGTTTGAGTGAATTAAATGCCTTTCCCATAAGTTACCCTACATGTTGCTGGATTGATTAATGAAGACAAAAATTGTACACTTAATATGATTTTTATAGTTAACTGAGAAGTCAGAATCTGGAAAAGATGAAAGAAAGAATAAGACTGAAGCAAAGAATGTAAGTTTGATTTTTGCTATTGTTGTGTACTGGAAATTTATTATTAATGAGTGTTTATGGCTATTAATCATTGTCATGCTAGCACTACACTAGTTTTAAAAACAGTTATGTCTTCATTAGTTTATTCTACAAAGTGTGAGAGTTATTCTTATGCATGAAAAGATTGTCCTCTTTTTTATGTTGAATATCTTCAGATTAAAAATTAAACTTAACAATAAAAATATAATATAAAAGAAATTCCAAAGAAGCAAGACATCTTGAGATTGCAAAATATGAATCAAAACAAGACGAGAAGTAAACTGTACATTTTCGACTTTATTTCAAAGTCATCCTCAGATAGAATATTCTAAAAATAAAATATATAATAAAAATATAATACTATATTTATAAAGCTACAAAATTTTACAAGTGAATTTTGTTTCTGTCTTGTGTTCTTTACTTCAAAACATCATTGAATCCAGGCTGAAACTATGCAAAAGGATGATGATGATGAAATGGATATGGGCAGTGATGAAGAAGACCAGAAAAAAGGTAATGTGTAAGGCAAAATAGAAACATTAGGTTCAATGATGGATTTGAAACGAGGATAATGATGGACAATGCATGTTTCACAACGTGTTTAATCTTCAGGAAGAAGAATCAGGAGATAAAGTTGAGAAAATGTCAAAAAAGAAATTGAAATTGAAAAACAGAATGAGTGTTGCTGAATTAAAACAGGTTTGAATAACAATTTATTGCCATATTTAGTTTTATCTATATCATTTCTATGGTATTATTTTAGACAATCCATCGCCCGGACGTTGTTGAAATGCATGACGTCACAGCACCTGATCCAAAGTTACTTGTTTTTCTTAAGGTATGTTTGATCTTTTTTTATGTGATTTTGAGTTAACGAAACCCTTTAAAAAAGATTCTGTTTTCATTTGTTCGCCAGGCATGTCGAAATACAGTTCCTGTCCCACGTCATTGGTGTTTCAAAAGAAAATTTCTACAGGTTTGATTGTTTACCTTAAAACGTGTTTGGTAGTTTTTCGTTTTACTTTATTATGTTGTATATTTTTTAAGGGGAAACGTGGTATCATTAAACCACCATTTCAACTTCCTGATTTCATACAGGTAAATTGTTTCACTTTCGTGTACTTGCGACCATTTTTGATGTTTTTGTCTTTGAAAGAAATTGTTGTAATGATGAATCTTATTTTTCCTACAGAAAACGGGAATAATGGAGATGAGAGAGGCTTTGCAAGAGAAAGAAGATGCAAAAAACATGAAAGCCAAAATGCGAGAAAAGGTGCTTGCTTTTCTCATTCTCCTCCATACTTTACCAAAACGTCCTTCATTTTTTGGCGGGGGGGGAGCGGCGGCGTTAGTGATGCACTTAAATCTTGAACAGAATAGATGGACTCAGTTTTATATATTTTTTGTAGATTCGACCTAAAATGGGGAAGATTGATATTGATTATCAAAAACTTCACGATGCATTTTTCAAGTAAGTGAACAAAACAAAATTGTGATACTCTTTGATGCTAAATATTTAGACGTGTGTATCAATACCCATTACAGATTAGATCTGATTATATAAAATATTAGGATTAATAAGAAGAAAACAGTAGTTGTGGATTTTGACATTCATTTTCTTGTTAATGCAATGATGTTTCTACATAAATACAACTTTCACAGAACATGCAGCAAAATTTTATAGATGTGGCAAAAGATCTTGGATTTTCTCGCGTTTTTGCATGCTTAGATGATTTCTTTAATAACTGAGCAAGCTATTCCCTCTGAAAGTTGTGCAAGTAGATTCAGTTTGCTGTTCACAGGACTATGAACTTGAACAGTTGGTTGAGTGGACTGCGCATGCTAATGTAAGCTGCTTATGCGCAGTTAACTGCTCTAATTAATTGGAAAATCGAGCAAACCAGCTACTCAGGAACAGGTGTAAACACTAAGTAGATTTAAATATTTGCTGCACACTATAAAAATGCTTCAATTTGCCATGAAGTCAGTGGACTCGTATTGCATAAATCAAAATTAAATAGGAATTAATTTAGAAAAAAAAAGAGTCTAAAGTCAGTGTTTTTTCATCATCCATGGATGTCCCGTTGGTTTAATTGCTACTTTTGACTTGCATATTCATTGTGCAACTAACCAATAGATATCTTATTTTTCTTTTCAAAGATGGCAAACAAAACCAAAAATGACAATTCATGGCGATCTGTACTACGAGGTTCGTTCGTCTGCACTTCTCTAATGTTCGCTTATTCATAGAAATAAAAAAATACTTATTGAAATCAACTGCGACAAAGAGAACCATCCGTAGCTGCTTATTTGATTACAGGGCAAAGAGTTCGAGACGAAATTAAAGCAAAAGAAACCTGGTGATCTATCAGAAGAATTAAGAACAGCTTTAGGCATGCCTACTCGTCAGGTATGTAAATGTTACAGATGTCATAAAAGAAATCTGTTGTTCTTGTTGACTTAGTTCTATAAACAAACATTTAGATGGTAATTTTACCGTACATTTCAGGGGAGCAATCTCGTACCACCACCTTGGTTAATTGCCATGCAACGTTATGGTCCACCACCATCCTATCCTAACCTCAAAATACCAGGACTCAACGCACTAATCCCTGAGGTACGTCGAATTATTTCCGCTCCAAATGTTCTAAAATTCTTAAGTTTATCTTGTTTTTGTAATATTGTAGGGAGCGTCATTTGGCTACCACGCTGGAGGCTGGGGCAAGCCTCCTGTTGACGAACATGGACGTCCCTTATATGGTGACGTCTTCGGTGTACAGCAAACAGACATAAACATTGTTCATGATGAACAGGTAAACTCTAATCTTTGGGGAGAACTTGAGTCTGAGTCGGAAGAATCCGAGGAATCTGAGGTTTGTCTGCTTTGTTTAACTTGCAAGAAAATGTTTTTATGCAAAATTTGAAAATCAAGCCGCTTCACATGTTGTTGAAATCAATGTTTTATAATTAGGAGGAATCTGAAGAGGAAGCTCCGGATCAATCTGGTCTTGTTACTCCTGCTGAAACGTTAGTTTATTTGCTTATACAGTTTTATTATTGTAGATTGAATTAAATCAATGCAATAACACAGTGAGCTGGTATACTATTTTCATTTTCAAGGGGTCTTATCACGCCCAGCGGTTTGACATCAATACCAGCTGGAATGGAGACTTCGGATATGATAGAGTTACGTAAAAGGAAGAATATCGAAGATGCTATGGAGAGTGGCAATGAACAGCAGACATTGTACACAGTGTTACCAGAGAAGAGAGCTGGTGTTGGTGTAATGATGATTGGAACATCACATGTTTATGATCTAGCGACGGTAAGATTTTCTTACATCCATGTTAATTACGAGTTAATATTTTGGCGTGTAAAAAGGAATACTTACCCTAAAATTCACGTTGGGAGGTCACCTTTTTAAAGAAGTTGTTTGTGAAAAATGTAGAAACATCTGTAACTGTGCAGTCTTTACTGTTGTTATTACAACGTAAAAAGTTTCTTTTCTCCCATAAATTTAGGCTGCTGCAGCTCCATCTGGCACCAAGCGGGTAATTTCGAAACAGATTTTATGACATTTACGTAACTAATAGACATTTTTTACATTTAATAAATATTGCTTAAATTTAGTCGGGAGGTTTGTCTGAAGGCGTTGAGGTGGCATTGGACCCGAGCGAACTGGAGCTTGATCCAGCCGCAATGCAAGCCAGGTAAAAGTTCATTAATAATATTTTGATACACACATTGACTTAAGATTAAAATCACAAATTCAAGGTTAGATTGAATGTTTGATCAGTGCATTGATATATTTTTTTCAGATATGATGAAACGTTACGAGAACAACAAAATATCCAGAAAGAAGATTTTAGTGACATGGTTGCTGAACATGCTGCCAGACAGCAGAAGGTACTTATCGTACATCCTACTTTGAGGATGAATTTTTTGTCTGTTGTTTTTTATGCATACATATTTTTGTTTCTAAACTTTTAGAAACGCAAGAAAACTACTGATAGCGGGAAATCTGCCAAAAAGTACAAGGAGTTCAAATTCTGACACTTAATTTGCAGTATCCAGTGTTGCAAGATATGTTTCTCCCCTTATTTTATGATTTTTGTGGAGTTTAAGACATATTACACGATATATGTCTGTAGAGTGTGTCATATTACCGTATGGTCAATGGTATAGCGTCTGATTCGATCATGTAATATGGTTTATTGACATTTCACTGTCAGTACGGTTTACCTTCGAATCTTTCATGAACCTTTCATAATCATCATCCAGATTGCTGTAGCAGTCATCGTATGACAGCGAATGAAAATATCAGAGAAAGTCCTATGGCGAAAATTTTGAGTTTTGTAGATTATTTAAAATTAAATTTAATTTGCTTATTTTGACGAGTAACTTCTACTTATTATATTTGATATGGAGGCACTATAAAAGCCTCAAGTAGTTGTACATATTTCAAAAAGCTTGAATTACACTGCATTCGACATCAAATGGATTCTTTGTAGTACAAAGTTGTTCTTGGTTCACATCCCAGAGGAGCAGGAGCCATTCAGGTGTATGATGTGTGTCGTGGCAATGCGAATCTCTTATCAGATGTAAGTAGTTTAAATTCAACCATTTCAAGTTATAATTTTCTTAAATCTCTCTTGTGTTAAAATTTATAGATTAAGAAAAAACGTCGTTTAAGTGTGGAGCAAGCAGCTTAGAACAACGACATTTGGCAACTGGAAATTTCGATGGAAAGCTAATGATATGGTATTTTGAAGCTTTATTCCGAAAATTTACCTCCGTCCCAATGTATTCGGAACACGAAGAATAATCACTATCACAACTTGGTTTCATAAACAATTTTTATTATTACTTCTTAAAGTATCTCGCTTCCCTCCCTTGTCTCTTTCGTCTCGCTTGTCTCGCATGCCTCACTTCTCACTTCCGTTCTCTGCTCTCTCTACTTCCGTTCCACTCATGTTTCCTATATTGTTCTTTATCGTCCCCAACGTACCCGAATGTACAATTAAAACCCAACACGACTTTAACATAATTTGCAACACCCTCCCCCACATGTGACTACGAATGAGTCACATGTTATATCACTTTGTCTCGAAGTTTATTTCATTCCTGTTCCATTAGCTCCTGATTTATCGCCTCTGCATGCACAGCAGCTTGTCGTCTTGGTCTGAATTCTTCGGCGTTCACTTGCAACTTCTTTTGATGGTTGCTGACGTCGCATTGTAGTTCTAAAGAATAGATCAGTTGGATTAGTCTCTCAAGAGATATTTTTCCACACTGAAGTTTGACTCCTCTCACAACTCCATCCCTTCCACGGATCAACATCGTTACCTTTCCGATCTTCCACATATTTCTGTTTTTCTCGTCACCCTTAATTAAAACGATATCTCCCTCTTTCGGATGAGATTCGGTTGCTGATTTGTTAACTTGATTGCGTTGGCGTAGACTTGTTAAATATTCTCGCTGCCATCTGTTCCACAATTGGGTTTTGATTTTGTGCAAATACTTTGCTCGCTTCCGTAATTCACCGTCCTTAATGTGATGACTCTCCACCTCAGGGATGACGTTCGTCTGTTGCAGTACGAACGAAGACGGCGTCAGTACGGGTAGTTCAACATCATCCTCTACATAGCTCAATGGTCGATTGTTTATACAAATTTCTACGTCCAGAACAACTTCTGCCAGTTCATCGAATTTCAGAAGTCCTTTACCAACGACTTTGTAAAATGATGATTTGAATACACCGATCAATCGCTCAAATTGGCCTCCCCACCAGGGTGCGCGGGACAGATTGAATCTCCATTTAATGCTATGTTTACTGAGCTCGCTGTGAAACCTCTCGTCTTGCATTGCTCTCTTTAACCATGCTGCTGCAGCTTGGAACGTTTTGCATTGTCCGAATAGATCAGCGAAGGACGACCTCGCCTTGCTATGAGCCGCTTTAGACTTTGCAGGAAAGAAGTTGTCTCAAGACTCTTCAACAATTCAAGATATACTCCTCGCGTCAAACTACAGGAAAAGAGCACTAGATAAGCTTTTCCTTCTTGATTTTTCTTGACTTTATACTTAATCGGACCGGGGAAATCGACACCAATGACTTTATACGGTGTGGTTCCTTCTGTTCGAGTCTTTGGTAAAGGAGCAGGTATTGGAGCTTGATACGGTTTGGTCGTGAATCTCTTGCATCTGTAGCATCTCTTCCTTTGCTTTTTGACTAATCGACGAAGCCGAGGAACCCAATACCTTTCTCGGACCTTTGCCATCGTAAGTATAACTCCCCCATGGAGTGTTTCCAAGTGTGCATCTTCCACTAACTTCACGTTGAATAGAGCGTCATCAGGCAAGTAAATAGGGAACTCTCCTTGTATACGACCGTGACATCTTAAAATCTTGTCATCGTCGGGTTGTACATTTAACTGAATCAGATCCGTTTGAGACTTTGGGTTTTCTGCGACTCCGGCTTGTACCATTTTATCCATGACATGTGTTGCTCTTCCACTTCTTCAGATGTCAGTGGCCCGTGCTTTCTATTATCTCTGTTTTGTCGAGCATTATCAATAAATCGTTTCACCCACGCCCCAATACGAATCGCCTTCCGCAATGGATGTTTTCCAAGAATATCACTGAATATTGCCAAGTCTGACCGCTGGATAGCCGTGCTCAAAACTACTCTCGTCGCCTTTGCTTCACTTTGGGAGTCAGTCGACGGTTTGACTATAAGATCTGGTGGCCAAAGACTACGCTCTGATAGCCAGGCAGGACCTTTCATCCACATCTCGGTCAGTTTGCCACCTCTGCTTCCGAGGTCGGCCGGATTGTCGGTTGTTGGCACATGATGCCACACGATCTCATTAGAAGCTCGGATTTTTTGCCACTCGATGCGACACGAATTGTTTATAATCACCCTCTCCTTTAATCCACCATAAAGCTACAGTACTATCTGACCAGCAGTGTTTTCTGTGTGGAATGTGTCTCAGCGCATTGCTACCATTCGAGACCAAATTTGCGGCCATATGACTTGCAAAAAGCTCTAACCTCGGGATAGTCAGTCCTCTCTTGGCAAGTCTTGATTTCGCTGCCAGTAATTCCTGAGTAACTCCAGATGGTTGTTTAGCGACTGTGTAGACGACTGCGCACAAACCTTCACCGTTGGCATCCCCAAATCCATGAATCTCTAAGCTACAGACGGGTTCTTGGAACGACAGAACCGCTCTTGGCACGGTCACTTCGCTTGGTAAGGTGTTTTCCCACTTCTCCGACTCTGCTTCAATTTACCAATCAATTCTGCGTCCCAGGGTAATTTCAGGTCACACACCTCTCGATAGATTTGTTTGCCTTGCAAAAGCAGAGGTGATGCAATTCCTATTGGATCATAGATCTTCGACAGTCGACTTAAAATGCTGCGCTTCGTTGGCGATTTCCCACAATGTCCTATTTGTACACTTAACGTATCTTTCTCTTTATTCCACGTTGTACCCAGGATCTTCGTCTCAGTTGGCTGCACCCCAAATTGTTGTTTGGCCGCTGTTTGCTCTTTATGATTTTTGTTAACACTACCTTCATCCAACTCCTTTGCATTTGATGCCCGCTTATGAAGGGTAAAGGTTGCGTCACCCAGAATGTCAATAGCTTCCAATTTCCTTTTTCGTGCTTCCTCCACAGTGCATCCTCCTGAAATGATGTCATCAACGTACAGACACCTTCTCAGAGCCTCAACTGCGTCTGGAGCTTTGATTTTCCAGTGATCCAAATGTGTTTCGAGAACTCCCCCAAGTAGGAATGGAGAAGAAACCAATCCAAACAATACTCTCGTGAACCGTAGTACTTCTACATCAGCCTGTGGATTTGGTCGCCAGTGAAATCTTAAAGAATCCCGTTCACTTTCGCGTACACGAATTTGGAGAAATGCCTTTTGAATATCCCCAGTGATTGCAACAGGAAAACTTCTCGCTCTTACCAGGACTTCCCACAGCTTGTTATTTAGCGAAGGTCCCGCGTACAGGCATTCGTTTAAAGAAGGACTTTCTGGTGAAGCTTTTGCTGATGCATCGTACACCACTCTCCGTTTAGTGGACTGCACTGACTCGCGTACGACTTCTTTGTGAGGTATGTAGAATTCATTACCTTTTGCTACGTTAGTTGCTGGTTCAACTATGCCATTGTGCTTTTGGTCTTGGATTACTGCGTTGTAATCTTCAGTTAATTTCTTTCGCTGTAATCGTCGCTCTAAAGATTCCAACCTTCTGATGCTTCCTGTTTTGTTTGATGGGAGAGGTGGATGATTTCCACGCCATGGAAGACCGGTCTCGTACCAGCCCTCCGGTGATCGCGTTAATTGCTCTTTGAATTCGTTATACACCATTGATTGGTCGTGTTCAGCAGTGTCTGCTAGGCCCAGCACATCCAACCTGCAGAGATCTTCATAATCCTTCTGCGAAACTTGGGTAAGCAACATCCTTTTACTGTTTGGTTCCACACCAGGGCTCATGGCAAACCATCCGAGTTTTGTTTTTTCTGCAATTGGTTGCCCCTCAGTTCCCACTAGTGGATTCGTGCGAGTTTTTATCCGTGCATATTCACCGCTTCCCAAAACGATATGGAACTGAGGGGCAAATGCTACCTTATCAAAGGTAGCATTTTTATTATTTTTTTGTTGATGTACACCAACATAAAATAACCTCCACCTAAGTTTAACTGCTTTGTTACAACAGATATTCACAGCATCGTAGCAATGGCAACATCAACTGCTAAACCTGTTGTTATTTATGGTTAAAAAAGATGTTGGAACAGAAAGAAACTGGTGTTCATTAATCTCTTCATTAGAAGTGACTTATTGTTGAAATATGTATCTTTGTATACTTCCTCTATTGTCTTTGTCGAGAGTGATCTGATGTTAGAGCTTATATCAACGTGTAGTGTATTCTTGTGAATTCGTCAGGCATGAGTTGTGTTCCTAGTAAATTATAATTCTTTAATTTTAACTGATATTTAAATTCAACAAAACGAAGTCTTCCGATTTCAGTTATTGTTTTATATCAAAAATAATTTAATTACAAATTATAAGGAAGCTTTCCAGGAAGTACCATCGAAGTCAGAGAAATCTGATTTAAGTGCAATTTCTCTATTGCATTATATCCACAACCTCTGACATCAAAGAACTTATCGTTAAAATAAACGACGAAGCATAGTAGAGTTTAATTTCCCTTGTTCTTACCTCAATCCATTTTTTTCATTCCGAGCATTAGCTGGGATACCTTTAGAAATCATAATATCACATCTTAGTGTGTTCAGTACTTCTTCAGTTTTTGAAAAATTTTGGAGTTATAGTTCTTTTCCACTTATCTTTTCCAATATTATATTGATACATCATGAC